GATGGGTCTCAAAGTGAGGTAGTGACAAAACAGCCTTTCAAATTGTAAAGCCCCATTAACACAGACTCATTTTAGAGTTCATGCTGCACCTGTGGCTCTGAGTTGTGCTTTGTCCATTAAGTCAGGGGTCCCCCACCCCTGGGCCACAGACAAGTACAGTCTGTGGCCTGGTAAGAACCGGGCTCCATAGCAGGAGGTGAGCGGCAAGCCAGTAAGTAAGAGAAGCTTCATCTGTGTTCACAACTGCTCCCATCACTTGCATTACTGCCTGAGCTGTGTTCCCTGTCAAATCAGCACTGAAAAGCCCGCTTCCATTTCCGATATCCTATCTCTGTGAAGCAGGGTTTTCTGTAGTGACAGCAACCAAAACAAGATTACAGAGTTGGTCAGGCGCAGTGGCTCACACCTATAATCCCAGCACTTTGGGAGGCCGAGGTGAGAGGATTGCCTAAGCCCACAGGCTCAAGACCAGTCCAGGCAATTTGATGAGACTCATCTCTACAATAAATCAAAAAATTAGCCGGGCGTGGTGGTGTGTGCCTGTAGTTCCAGCTACTTGGAAGGCTGAGGCAGAAATCGCCTGAACCCAGCAGGTCAAGGCTGCGGTGGCCGTGAGCGTGACTCTACATTCTGGCCTGGGTGACAGAGTGAGACTCCAACTCAAAAAAAAAAAAAAAAAAAAGATTACAGAGTAGACTGAACATAAGCAACACAAATCAGGGGTCACTATCTCCCATCTCCCCCAGATGGGACCATTTAATTGTGGGAAGACAAGCTCAGGACCTCCCACTCATTCTGCATTATGGTGAATTGTAAAATTATTTTATAATATATTACAATGTAATGATAATAGAAATAAAGTGCATAATAAATGCAATGCACTTGAATCATCCCCAAACCATCTCCCTTCTACCCCTCCTCTACCCCGGTGTGTGGAAAAACTGTCTTCCATGAAACTGGTCCCTGATGCCAAAAATGTTGGGGATCACTGCGTTAAATCACCGAAACCTTCCATAGCCCCCTTTCCTAAGAACTCACCTAAAATTCCACATCCAGAGGTCCCTCTTATCTTTTATTCCTATGTTTACAAGCCCCCAATTTTTCCAATTACTCATTATCAGTTATTTAGCAAATTGGCATTAGGTTTCTAGAAGTTTCTAAACACTGTTCTAGACACAGGATTGCAAAAGTCAACTACCAATGGAGCATCTTCTAATAATAATAAAGTCCTTTTTCCCTAGTTAAAGTACTTGCCTTTGAAGATCTCTCATCGTGAAGGAAAATGGATGAAATAAAAGGCACAAAATAGAAGGAATCTTCAAAGAAACTCTGAGGAGTCAGTGGAATCACCCTTTAATTGATTAGTATTAGACCGTCGCTTTAACTTGACAGCTCCCCGCCCAAAAAAAAAAAAAATTCGGTAAAACATGTGGCTTCCAAATACATACAGCAGATTTCCTATTGGGCCAAGTTTAGAATTTCATATATGAAGTTTATTTTGATTGTGTCTTTGCTTTCTAATAACTGGACAGGGAGCAGATGAGAGAATGAGAACACTGAAAAAAGAGGAACACACTGATACAATAAACTCTGTGGGAGTGATAACAGTTGATTTATGCTCCCAATGAGGGAGGTAAAAATATCTGGTAGACTCTCCAGAGACAAAACCAAGTATAATGAGCAAGTGGACTCCATGAGGGTTTGCAACGACAAAAAGAGGAAAACAATCCCAGCTTTGCATGTTAGGACCACATTAAGTCCAGGAGTTCAGGAACATTCAAAATCTGTACACCTGAACAAATGTACATAATGCTGATGCAGTCCTATTTTCCTGATGTAATCGGTGTTATTAAGATGAATAAAGCTGAGTTAAACTAAAAGAGTTACTGAATTCCTACATGTTACAATAAAAAACAAAGACCACCTTCCAGTAATTAAAGAAACAGAAGTGATGGAGAACATGGTCCCAGCTAGTGCTCTTGTTGCTGGAAATGTGAAGTGACCAGAATAGACAGTTATTCCATTAATTCTCACCCTCAACAAACTTACACTCCAGTGGGGAGACAGGAAAAAAACATACAGCTGGTTAGCTAGCAACGTGAGCTCAGAAGAAAAATTAAGCAATAAGGGGGATCTGGGGCTGAGGTTGTGCATGGATGGCCTGACACACCAGGGGACAAAGAGTCCAGTGACCGAAAGGCTGGTCTGACTGGGAGGTGATCACAACCACCCAGTGGGGTCGGGGGGTGTCGTGTCCCACACGGACAAGGAGGAGCTGCTCAAAATGCTGACAGTTTGGGGATGGGTGTGGGAGAAAGATAGGAGTCAAGGGTAGTGCCAAGGCCCTATGTAGGCAGAAGGAAAGAGGTGCCCTCCTGAGACAACTGGAGAGGAGCAGGTCTGTCTACAGTAGCATCAGTTGGGTCATCACAATTTGCCCATATGGCTTCAGGAACATCAGTGAACCTCTGAGCCTCAGTCTCTCCTTTCCTGGGAAGTAGACAGACATGGGGGTGGGGCTCAGAGGAAGATTCCGGAACAAGGCTTAGAAACAGTCAAGAGATTCCTGCCAGAAATCCTCCTGGAAAGTGGGTGAGAGGTCAGGACTGAAGCAAAGGACTAGTGCCATCTGCATCCTGAAAACTCTATTAAAATCTGCACGACAATAAGTAGCCCTCTAGCATCTTCTGCCATCAGAAAGAAAGAAGAGAAACAATTAGAGATTTGGGTTTCATCTCTGCCTCCATTCAGTGACTTAGGATGGCCAGAGTGCGATGCTAACTGTAAACCCTGCTGCCAGCTTATTCAGACAGATGTAAATGCTGCTGGACGCCTCTGCATTTCCTCCTCTTAGCACCCAGTTCATAGAGCTCACAGGGCCCTGCAGACCCCTAGGGGTTGTTCTAGAAGGACCACAGCCTGGAGCCAGGAGAGGACTGAGAGCACACACACTCAGCATCCAGATTTCTTATAGAAAACAGAAGCCCTTAAATTCCCCTTCTACCACTCGAAGGATGCCAAGCAGCTCACACTTGGAAGAAGACATGCAAACAGTAAATCCACGTGGTAACTGAGATGGTGTCTTTAGAGTTGGAAGCAGCAACGTCTGACATCCAACAGGACAAACATGGGAAAGTAAGCAAATCTCACTGAAGAACACCCTAGGTACTCACTGATCTGGAAACTGTAATACGTATATGACAAAATATTTCCAAGGTTATCTCATTTCTACCTTTGGGTATAGCCAGAGCTAACTTGGAGTCACTAATGAGCCTGCTGTGCCATTGTAGGACAGAAATTACAGGGCATTCTATTTCACAGGGCATCAACTATTTTCTAATGTGATAAATGTCTGAAAATGATTAAAAGGTTCCTCTTTCGAGAAAACATCCTAACAAAATCCCTCTGTCAGTGCAGCAGTATGGCAACTGCCATAATAATGCCACCAATCTTTACATTTTCCAAAGCACACTGGCCCAGGATCCATTATATCACCCACTTTTTCAATCATCTGATAGCTACATAAATAGCTAACACCCCATCACACTCTCTCCTCTGCCTCTCTTCATTTTACTCCACAGCTATTCTTGACATACTAGATGTGGACTTTTTATTTGTTTTCCTCCCCCTCAAAAATGTAAGCTCCATCAGTGGAGTTGGATTATCATCCAACTGTTTAAAAAGCCTATTCAAAAAAAAAACAACTACATTTCATTCTTTCCTTTGCTGTCTAGTTTCAGAGGTAGGAAAAAGTACTAGCCTCAATTGGGTAATGCCTGCTTCCTTGCAGCAAAGAGGGAAATTCTTCTTCTTCAACAACCATGGAACCAAGGAAATGTGATGCCATACTCTCCCTTCCTGGACAAAATAAAGAAGTTCCCCATACACCTATCTTCTGATCAAATAATAGTAAATAGCATCCAGTGAAACACTAATGATTAGATGCAAGGTTTTCTAACATCTGTATTCTCTGTTCCGTACTATACTTTGCAATTCACGTGAAGTTAACTCAATTATCTTCATTTCACAGATTAAGAACAGGTTTAAGAAGGATACACAATTTGCCTAAAGTCCCAAGATAAGAAGTGACACCTTCAGGATGTGGACTCAAGTCTCTTGATTTCCAAAGCTTACATTCTTTTCACGCACCCATCACTCTGCTCTAGAGGTTTCCATAGAGTTCAGAAGGGCTCATTCACAACAATTACTCCTGGTCCTCCACACAAAGGTGTAATTGTGAATCTAACTGTGTCACATTTAGAAATACTAAAGAGGTCATCCTCTGAAGATAAATGCCAACAATTTTTCATACCTCAGAAGAATGTCTTTTTCATTATAGAGTCCTCCAGTTATTAAATAAGGCCTTTGGCTTAATGATGGCAATGGTAGACCATTTAGTTGGCTAGGATGCAGACATAAATCCAGTGCTCAACCTTCCTGATCATAATCACACGGAAAGTTCTTCTGCTTTCCCTCACACTCACAACCAATGAGAGGGATTGCCTGACCTAATAATGGGGGGGGGAGGTGGGGGGGTGGGGAGGGTCGTATTATCACATTTGAATCTCCTAGCCTATCTGTGAAGAAGGCTGGGTGATCAGTATGTCCTTGGCCAGGAGCGAAGACCACATGTTAAGGATCCACTATAGCTCTGTTCCACCCATTCAGAAGAGAAGTCTTTGTCCAGCATCCCTCAGTCCTACAAGTGCCAGCCCCCAGCACAGCTCCTCGCCCACTATTCTAGAACTCATACTCCAATATGCACTCAGAAAACACCCAAGGCTGTTCTATTCTCTCTCCTGTCTGCCCTTACCTAGGGAGACTCAAGTACAGATGAGCTCACGAGAGGAAGAGGCAGACAAGAGGTCAGGTAGGGCAATGAGGTCACGACAGTACTGTGGACCCTTCACGTCTCCTTTTGTCCCATAACCACCCTTTATTCTTTTGCAGGACAACACTATAAAACTCTACTAAATATAAAAATAGACCACAAAACTTACTCAAAATAAGTTCTGACATGGTGGTGATGATCCCCACAGGTGCAGAAACAGAGCTTTCATTTAAAGACAATAGTCACAGAAAGAGGAGGAAAGTCCGTGAATGAACAGGGTCAGGGATCCAACAACAGAGCCAGCTCGCTTGTTTCCTGAGTACAGAGCTTTGTTCAGAGCCCAACCTTGAGGGAGTTGAACATCCTCAAAAAAACTGATGCAACCTTTCCTGAAGGGAAACAGAGATGCCAACTTCAAATTATTCCCAAGAAAACCCTAGCAACAACCTGGGACCAGTCTTCAAGGCGGGAAACATTCCTGCTGGGAGTACCTATAATAACACAAGTCTGTATGGTATACTTCTCTCCAGCTCCACATTAGAACTTGGGTTTTTGCTCCTAAAACCACTGAAAGAGGGCTCTGAGCTTGGAGGTCCCAGTCATGAGGAACAAACATAGTCACTAGATGTCTGTTCTAGGCAAGGACCTCACTGAAATGACAATGGGTCTAATGGGACTATGAACTCTTAAGGGTATAACTCCTTGGCCACTTGACAGTCCTTAGTATAGAATTACAGCACCCAAAACAATATAACCACCATATCCAAACAACATTCCTCGTCCTTGTGCCTTGGACACAAGAACATCCTGACATTCCAGAAAGAAGGTGGCCCATGCCCTCCAGGGCTATGTGGAACCACAGACAGCCTCGCCCTGCAGATACCCAAGTCTTCCCTCTTCTCTTCTGGTCTACTCAGCCTTGTGAGAAGATGGGTGCAGGGGACTGTGACACAGTATCCATGCACTCCCCAGTCGACCACATACTCACCCAAGACACTATTTCATCAGGTCTCTCCGGAATGGATACTTCCCATGACTTCTGGGTGATGCATATTAAATGCAAACTCCCCAGCCACTCTCTCCTGACATTTACCATACTCTATGCTCTCATTTTCTCCTTAAACAACAGACTTAGCACTACCTACTGCTTTACTTATATTTACATTCTGTTTCCCTTTCCAGAATAGACACACCATGAGGGCAGTAATTTTTATTTGCTTTGCTCACTATTGTATCCCAAGAATTTCTGACAGGACTAGCATAGGAGGAGGTGCTCCATAAAAATTGGTCAGTAAAATTTATTAGACACTCTAAAATGTATCGCCTAATGAAAAGCTCCTGTAGCAGAATTAAAAGGTTTACCTCCTCTTCTGCACTGTACACTTCCTAGTAACAGGAAGCATTTATGCACACATAATATCAACTACTTGGTATAATGTATTACATGTGTAAAGTAAATATTTACTGAGTGGATGTCTCAATAACTGCTAGCAATAAGGTGTGATTTTCTCTGCAGTGAAATAAAAATACTCATTAAACATTGAAAATGAATACTCAGTGTTGACTTAGGGCCCATATACTTATGTTAAAATGTTCAAAAGAACCACTTCCAGTCACCTGTACTTTGATATGATGAACTCAAACAGCATGTGCAGTGCTCTATCCCTGGGAACAAGGAGGCCTGGCTGCCAGCCCTGGGCCTGCCTTCCGCCAGCACTGTGATCTTGGCACATATCCTAAGCTCTGCACCCTGAATTACTCTTGTGAAGAATGACAGGGCTTATTTTCCACCTATAAGACTGACAGAACATTTAAAAAATTGTAATAACTTGTCTACAGTCTTGAAGAAACTTATACATATAGCTAATGGTAACAAGCAATGAAATAATACTTTTGCGAGGCAATGTGCAATATCTATCAAGGAACTTTAAAATGTTTAAATCCTTTGACCAAGAAACCCTTTTTCTAGGGGCCACTTTTCAAGAAGCCCTTTTTCTAGGCATTCATCCATAGAACAAAAGTTGGGGGGCATAAAATGTGTATTACAGCATTTCGTATAATATTAAAAAGCTGTAAGTGCATAAATGCAATATTGTAAAAGGAATATCAGACCAATAAAAGAAAAATGAAAAAAGTATGTGCCATAAAATGATATTTTGCAGTATTAACCCAATGGCCTTATGATTTAATTTAGGTAGATGGAAGGTGAGCATTGAAACCATATGTTCCCTAGTATAGCAACAACAAAGAAAGGAAAAATACACACTCACACACTCAATCATTTCTTATCGAAACGAGGAAAAACAATTTTCTGTTCCTTTATATATATATATATATATATATAAAAAATAAAAAACTGAAAACCAAGGAAAGTCATAATAAATAACAAAATTAAAAATTGCAAAACATCCCAAATGACCCCAAAATTTACACACTCAGAAAAGAAATGCAAACTTAATATGTCAAGATCCCACTCCCCAGCTATTTTCAGAAACATTCAAACATTTGGTAAAACACGCTGCTGGGGCGGCTGAGAATCAATAGTCACTCACATACCTCACTGGCTGGAATTCAAAAAGGTACAACACATGAATTTGTCAATAGCTATCAGAATTTTACTATATTTACCCAGGGACCTAGCAATGCCACTTCTAGGCATGTGAACAATGCATGAAGCTAGTCACTGTGGACTTGTTTGTAACTCCAAAAGATGGAGAACTCTCCAAGTAGGGGTTTGGTAGGATAAACCGTGGAAAGTTCACACAATGGAAAACCATGAAAGCCTCATGGAAAGGACATTGGTTAATACTGCAAAATACCATGCTGCCAAAGGAACGAAAAAGCCTTCCATGCATTCTCATGAAAAGATCTGCCAAATGCGTTAGATAAAAAGCACAAAATATAGAATAGAAAATATTATGATACACTTTTTATATATGTTTGTATTTATTTGTAGTTGAATAAACATTGGTTGAATACCCAAGATTCAAATTAAAAGTTACCCAGTGAGGTGGGGGTGGAGACTGGACAGTGAAGAGAATGGACAAGCTCGGAGTCCGTGGGAGTTCCAATATGTACCTTTAAATAAGTTTGATTGTGAACCACGTGGCTATTTTAAAACTACAAAGATTTTAACAAAATAAACACAAATGCTATTATAAGAACTAGAATAAATAGATGGTCTCTAACTTCTCTCCCAGTCTTAATTTAACCAATAAAGCATACCTACTCATTCTATATATTGACCTGCTACTTGAAGTTAGGAGAAGTATTTTGGTATTGTATAAATTGCCAAAAAAGTTCCAAATGATATTTTAATATGAGTTTTCTTCTCTGAACTAACTCGGAATTCCAAAAATGTCAGTGTATATCTGTTCTCCTACATGTCTCCTAATTTAAAAAGTGAAATGTATTTCATTGCCAAAAGATGTAACATCCTGACTCATCTGCCTGTCAGAGCTAAGATGTGAAAGACCAGTGCTGATGATAAGGCTCTGTTAAAGTCTTACTTTAAGTGCCAGCGTTTTGGAGAGAGTTTTATTTTTCCTTTAAGGAAACAAAGTAATAATTCAAATAAGAACAATGAGCTAATAATAGATCACACCTGTTAAGAACATACTGGGTTACTAGTTGTGCAAACCCTTTAGCCACTTGGATCTTAGAATAGCTTGTCAAGGTGGTAATACCATCACCCATTTGATACAAGGAAACTGAGGGCACAAAGAGGCTACATAGCTTGTTGAAGACTACACAGTCACAGGCATTGAGACAGGGTATGAATCTTTTTTTTTTTTTTTTGAGTGGGAGTCTCACTCTGTCGCCCAGATTGGAGTGCAGTGGCATGCTCCCGGCCACCGCAGCCTCGCCCTGCTGGGCTCCAGCGATCCTTCTGCCTCAGCCTTCCGAGTAGCTAGAACTACAGGCGCATGCTACCACACCTGGCTAATTTTTTATTTATTGTAGAGATGAGGTCTCAACAAGTTGCCCAGGGGGGTCTCAGGTAATCTACTCGCCTCGGCCTCCCAAAGTGCTTAGGATTACAGGCTAAGCCGCCGAGCCAGCCAAGACAGGGTATGAATCTTGACCATCTGGACCCAGTCCCATGCTCTGAGCTGCAACACTGTATCTAATTATTTCCTGAAATAAAATGAGAATGCATGTGGCACTGACTGTCATGAGGCAGCCATAATCTTTTTGACAATGTGTGGAATCAGGCTACAATCGTCATTCTTTCTTCTTAAGAATTCTATACTATTCCGTGCACCTGGTAAGCAGGCATGAGTATTTAAGATTCACCATCCCATTTTACAGATTGTGAGCTGGTAAATGACTAAGATCAACTAATGAGCACTCACTGACCTAAAAAGCTACAGACTCTAGAAGTTTTACCTAATCCTAACTTCCACATCCTTCCTTCTGTGGTAAATAATGTGCTACCCTGAAGCCTGGGAACAGTGTAGACCAGAGAATTGGCAAATTTTATCTGTAATGTGTCAGATGGTAAATATTTCAGGCTTTGTGGGCCTGTAGCGATGACTCAATTCTGATGTTGGAATATGAAAGTGGCCAGAGACAGCACACAAGCCAATGGGCAGGGCTGTGTGCCAGTGAGCCTTGTTCATGAAAACAGGCAGTAGGCCAGATTCGGCCATGGACCTTCTGCTGACTCCTGGGGTGGATACTGATGATTTTCTAGTGGTGGTGAAAATCAGTCCCAGCATTCTAATTTTCTCCCTGATGTGAAGACTCTTTCCAACCTGATCCTTACCCACCCATTCACCTGGTGCAGCTGTCCACTGTATTACCTACCAGCCTGCCCTATAACTGTTACGTGAAGATAAGAAACTTCTATGCAGGCTATTTTACCTAAGCATTTAATCTGTGTGTGTGATGGCAATATGATGACCCCACCATTCATGGGAGAAATCAAGGAAGAAAAATAAAATTAACACAATGAGTCTGTGGTTAAACAGTTAATAGCAATTCTGGGATAAGCATCTAAGTCACTTTATCCAAGGAGCCAGAGACTCCATGTGAGCCTAACATTACAGGCAATACCCTATCCTAGAATGTGTACAATCTTCCAGAATCAGAGGCCATGGGGTCTGAATCCTAGTTCCACCTCCCAGCCATGTGACCATGGCAAATCACCTAAACTTAACAATAGCTCATAGTTCCTAAGGTACTAACTTTAGCTGTATTCGACATATATTGCCTCATTTAATCCTCCCAGCAAACTGTGAAGTGGGCATTTTCATCCCCATTTTATAGATAAGAAAATTGAGGCTTTGAAGTTCCACAATTTGTGCAATGCCACAAAATTAGTAAATATTAGAGCCTGATAGCAAACAGAGGGAATTTGTCTCCAGGATCCTACTCTCCAACATAAACTTTGC